ACGGCCAACTCCTCCTCCTAGCCCCCCCGCTCCAGCAGGCCGCAGAGAACGGGGGTGAGAGAAGACTCCAAACCTCCCTCCACCCGCTCATTTTAGTGTTGATGCATGTGTGTTCTAAGGTGCATTTAAAACCCAGGAGGGAAAAAAGCTTCCAGCTCCAATGGGGTGGATTGGAGATGAGGATTTTTGGGCACAAAGGCCCCCAGCACATGTGGGGACAAGAGATTTAGACACCGGGTGGAGCCGTTGTTCCCCTTTCATAAAACGGTAGACTAGTTGGTGATGGCTCACTGGGCCATCCACGAAGCCCACATGACAGGCTGAAATGGCAGCTAGATATACTTTAATTGTGGAAAAGTATCTAACAATTCCTGGAGAAAGGAGAGAATTGTTGTCACAGAGCACTGAAAGGAGAGAGTGTGAGACTTTCCACACCACTCCTCAAATACCCTCCACTTGTTCTCATACAATGATCTTGTGGAGGGGCCTCTAGCACTGTGAATAGTGGTTATAACACCCTGGGGGGAGTCCTGCCATCCTCAGATTCAACCTCTCACAGGCCAAGCCACAGAGCGAGGTGCTCGGGGTGAGGGTGAAAACTCTCCCCCCTGGCTTGGGAGACTAGGACTCGTCGGAGATGGAGAGGAAAGAGTTTGCTCCACAAAAGGGGCATAATCTCCGCTAACCAATGGGACCTCGTCCACCTTGGGGCAATCAATATCATTGTTAGCCCTCTCTCTTTCACTCTGGTTAGAGTGTGAGAAATTAAAGAAAGTGTCTCAGTGCTAGAAACGCTGCTATCAATTCTAACCAGTTTATATGAGCAGCCCTCTGTCGTGAGTCCCAGTTGTCGCTCACTTTTTACTCTGTCCACAGAGAGACACACTCTGTACAAGGAGTTTAGAGCTATTCCTATGAAAGAGATGGCCTGAGCTGGCTGCGGGACACTCTTTTCATAGTTTATGGTGAAACCCAGAGCCATCAGGTGATCCACTGTCAACCTGGTACGCTCTCTTCCCATTATGGGAGACCAAATGGCACAACCTGGTACTCATACATTCTGCCCTGAAACGCAAATCTCAGGAATTTTCTGTGAGGCGGGTAAATAGGGATGTGAAAATATGCGTCCTTCAGGTTTATTGATGTAAACCAATCGCCTGGGTGCACTACATGCGGCAGAGTGGTGGTTGTCAACATCCTGAATTTGTATGACCTCAGATGCTGATAGGTCCAGTATCGGATGTAGTCCCCCTCCATTCTTGGGCACGAGAAAATGCTTTGAGTAAAAGCTTCATTACCTCTGGTCCTCGGGTATTTCTTGTACTGCACCCTTTGATAGCAAGGTAGTTATTTCTTCTTGCAGAATCCTGGCTGATTCGCCTTTTGCAAGAGAGAAAATAAATCTGTGAAATCTGGGAGGGGTGGTTGGGAATTACAAATGGTAGCCTCGCTCTAATGTTCTCACAACCCACTCTGACACAGCAAGAGCTCGCCATCTCTCTATTCTTGCTGACAGGGGCCCCAAAGTCAGGCACTCCAAAGTACATGGGACTTTGGCTCCCTCTTGTGGCAGAAACTGGTCCTGTAGCCCAGACCCGAAAGTGCATGCACAGGTGGCCCGTGCTTGACCAGCGTTCATGGGACCGGACACCACTTAGGAAATCGACCCTGGTGGTGCCTGGGGGTGTGAAGGCATTATGTTTTTCAACATATTTTCTGTGTTTTTCACACATTTTTCCTGTGCCCTTGGCAACATGCCTGGATGCAGGGGGTGAGTTTTTAATAAACAGTGTGCTTTTGTGAGACTGTGACACGCTTGACTCAGCTGAACAGTGTCTCGTCTCTTTGTTGGAATGTGCTCTGCGGGATCCAAATCGAGTCCCAGGCGCTGGAAGACGGAGGCAGAACACACTTCTCCATACTGAGTCCTGAAGTGAACTTGGAGCCGGGGCTGGTCCGGCTCCGATCTCCCTGTAGGGAGATGTTAGGCAGTTTGCTTCTTCTTGTGGTCTGACTGCTTGGCTGGTGGTGGGGCACCCTGAGCGGCACCAGGTGGGACGTGTTTCCTAGGCCAGTAGGTCTTAGGGTTCTGCGATCCTAGGGGACACTGGGCCGCAACCTGTGGAGCTGGGCGGCAAGGGATTTTAAATGTCGGCACGCCGGCTGGACAGCTGGTGACCTGAGCGATCGTAGACGGAGGTGCAGCCTGGGTCTTCCTAGGGAGACACAGCTGCAGGGCCCTTCCCTCTTTCTTTTTTTCCTCACACAATCTTTGCATGGTAGCAACGGTGGTCCCTAAAAAGCCCAGTGGGGTTGATGCTTTCATCCAGAATGTCACGTTTTTCTCTGTCCGAAAGTCTCAACAAGTTCAGCTATCTTGAGAGCTGAGCGCTCTGCCCGCCGCTTGTACTGCTGCTCTAGTAAGGTGGAGACACTGGTCTGTAATGACGCCCAGCTCTTTCCACAGCTTGCTAGCATCGGGGTTCACAGCAGTCTGGTCCTGGAGCTCTGCCGAGTAGGCTAGCAGGAGTGATGAGGTGTTCAATGCCCTCACGGTGGTGGCAACTGATTTATACGCCTTGTCAACCAGGGAGGATTGTAGAAGTTCGGTGGAGATGAGAAGCCACCAGATTCTCCACTATGGGAATTTGGTAGATGCCCTTCTCCTTCATTCCAGCGCAGTCAAATGCCACTACTCCCTGCACGGGGTTGGGTGACAAAAATGGCTTTGCCCAGCAGCGTATGACCTTGTCCATGCATTCGGGGATAAGTGGCAGTACCTGCTTAGTAGTGCGCTTTGCTTTAGGGAGCCTTTTAACCTTGTACCTTGAGGTGGAGGTCTCCGTTGTCACTGTGGGCCATGGGACTGCCAACTTTTCAGCTGCCTGTTTTGCAAATAGCTCCATACCTGTGTGACTGTGTGCCGGGGTTATCACAATCAGACCTTGTGTCGCAGTATTCTGACCAGAAGGGGCAAAGAAAACGTTGTCATCCTCATCTGAACAAGATGTTACGATGCTCCCTCAGAGGATTCTATGAGTAGCTCGTCATTATCCTTCAGGGAATCAGACAGCATAGCTTCACAGCTGACCTTAGCACTGTCCACCAGCTGGAGGATGATATCCATCTCGTTGCCCCAGCTGGTACCTGGTGTGGCTGAGTCAGTGTGCTCCATCGGTGCGCCAATTGGAGACAGCATTGGGTCCTTCTTCGACAGGCTAGCCTGGTGGGCTAGCCTTCGACAAAGGCAAGCGCAGAGTTTGCCTGAACCCAGTGTGGGCGCTTTGCAGCCCGAGGCACATCACACAAGCCTCATGTGTATCTGAACCTGAGATTGCGCATCTGCAGGGACAAATTCTGGGCAGCGGTTTACAGTCTGCCATATTAAGGAACCTTGGTGTAGCTTGGAATGGCTGGACAGCTAACGCTGATCTTTTTTTTAAATTTTTTAATTTTTTTAAATCGGTCGGGTAGCTATGGTGAGCTAGTATGACCTGGCTAGTGTGGTGGCTAGCTCTTGTGGTACTTGGCTTGGTGACCATGTGTAGCAAGGACAGTTAGCTTGGTCAGCTAACTGTTGTGCTAGGTGTGTGATGGCAGCTAACACACTCTCCAATCTGGCTCTGTAGTGAAGAACAGGCAACCGGAAAAGCGAGCCGTACTAGCACCTGGTGACCAAGGTGTTAGCTTGCTCGAGTGGAAAGTTAAGCAGGCACTAACGCTGACAGTCAGGAGAGAAGAGGAAATTGAATGACGGGTGACGCTGCGTCACACCCTTTTATAGGGGGGAGGGTGGCACCTCCCTGGCGCAAGCGTCACAAGTGCCAGCCAATGCTGGCTGGAGTAATGCCATAGAGGCTTCTGAGGACAACTCTGGGAGAGTTTTCCCCATAATGAGAAACCGAAACGAATGTTTGAAAGAGAACTTCCACAGAGTGGCCGTAAATGCAGTGATGTGAAAAAATGTCAGCCACCTTCCTGAGATCTTATTTTTTTGCATTTTTGTCACACTTACATGTTTCAAATCATCAAAAAAATGTAATGTTAGACAAAGAAAAAAAGGGCATTTTGAATAAATACAAAATAGTTTTTAATTGATGATTTCATTAGATTGAAATCCACAGCGATGTGAAAGACTCATTGTGAAAGAAAGACTTCTCGCAAATGCTTGATTGCAGTTCTTGTTGTCGAGGGTGACGCAACCAGTTTTTAGCTTTACTTTTTCACATAGCGCCACGTATGTTTGGATAGCTTTTGTCTCTTAATAAATTAAATCATCACTTTACTCGAGTTATCTTTGTCTATCATTATAATTTGTTTCACAGTATGAAACATGTAAGTGTGTAAAATATGTTTTTAAAGAAAAAAAACCCTTTTTCACAGCACTTTAAAGGTGTAGTGGGCCAACATCCCTCCTGAGATGGGTGGAAGCCTTGTGACCAACAAACAAACGTCTTACCATTGTGCTTGGCAACAAGGATTTCTCCACCAAGCCCTAAGTCATATTTTGCTTGGAGATCAAATACTTATTTTACTCTGTGACATAAAAATCTGTTTACATTTTTTATGTAATTTGTGTTTTTTCATTATTTCTGGCTGATTTTCTGTCTCTCTCCATTAAAATGAAACTACCATAAAACTGAGAGAATGTTCATTTCTTTGTAACTGAGCATACTTACAAATTCAGCAGGGGTCAAATAATTATTACCCACACTTTATCTGTATTTTAGCATATATATTATTACTCTTTGAACCCACTGGTTTGATTGGATAATCTTAACCAAAGGTCCACTTCGTAACTCTCTTATAACTCAGTCTTATGGTTTCCAGTGGGTTCTGGCCCACTGAATCACTTTGCATTTTTGAGACATGTGCTGTAGCCACTGTAGTTTACTGTAATGGTAATAAAAGGACCTCAGGTGAGACTTTTCCTGTAAAAACTGCTTCCAGAGTCAAGAGGAGTTTCCCCCCCCCCTAACTTTCAGGGCAGAAATCTCTACCTGCCACTCCAATTTGGTGAGTTGCAAAACCTGGAAGTCTGCTCTCCCCCTCTCCCAGCCAAAGAGCCAGCATGGCGTAGTCGTTTCTGGCATGATGGAAGGTGAAGCCGTGAGCCGAGGCGGCGGCAGCACATCGACTCAGCGAGATGGGTACTCGAAGCCACACTGCTGCCTTCCCCTCTGCTTTCCACTGAGCTAAAGAATCTGCAGAGTTCAGATACAGTTTAATTTTGTATCTCCCATAAACTATAAAGTACATAAAGAAACAGTTAATATGTTGCAGAAGTGACATAATAAAAAGTGAAAAGCTTTTAAAAGGCATTTGCACCTAATTGAATTGTGAAGACAATCTCAAGAGAGAGATGTGAAAAGATAAAGAGAGAATGACAAACAGCAGACACGTTTCTGGTGGAAGTAGCTTTCATGTGAGTAGAGTTTAAAGATGGACAACTGAAAAACAGCTAACTGGATTAAAGCAGCCACAAAAATAGATAAGGGACATTTTTAATTGCTCATTGAGAGTTTTCATTTTACATTTAAGTAAGATAGCGAGTGCTGGCTCAATGAAAGGGAGAGCTGAAAAAATAAAGAAGAACCATATGAAAACATGTAAACCCCCGAAGATGAACTTTCAGTAATTGCAATGTAATAACAATAGTATCAATGTTTTAAAAGTAATATTGCTTTTGCTCGGAGAAACAACACAGAACATATTTTAAAAACATTTTATACCCCAGACATGCTCCCTTGGCTTAGATGCTATGAGCAATTTAACATTAAATATATAATACCTTATGTACAAACAGTACCGGCCTATTATAGATAACTGTCAGACCACTAGTTAAGACAGGTTGATGATTTAAGAGCTTTTGGGGTAAACAGGATGCGCGCATTGCCTTCCCTCTCCTCCTACACAGCAGCCAGAGTTCAGGGCGACAAACCTTGCAGTAAACCGCTGAATGAGCTCTCGCTGATGTCACCCGGCAGTCCGACCTCAGCCAGGTTCACTGTCACTCCACCGAATCGGTCCACTTTCCCCGTTAAAGCGCTGACCCCGTGGACTTGCTGAAGCTGTGAACAAGTTAAAGTGCAGGAAAAGGCACGGGTAGCTGTGCGTACGGGAAGAGACATGTTATTACAAAAGCGGCCTCTCGCCAACGGCAAAAGTCTGGCAACAAAGGTACAGCCAGCCATATTACCGTAACACGATAAGTAACCGAATAAAAGCAGAATATATTCAGCTGACAGCCGGTAAACGAGCTGTCTAGTACAGTTGCGTAAACGTCCGTGCAGGAAATTGCATAAATACCGTAATGAACCACTAAAACAGCCCTGACACGTGAACCAAACTCTTTTCGCATTTCTTTTAGATTACTTTAGCTTGGAACGCATGGGTATTGTGTTAAAATTGGCCAAAGAATCTGCCAATTAACCCATGTAATTCTGTAAGTGATCGGCTTTTTTGGCTACAAGCTATTGTTAACTATTGTTAGCTCTTGTTTTGCATTCTCTAACGTGCCATCTGCTGTTCATTAGCTATCAAAAAATCCGGAGCTTCTTGGCTGTTTAGTAGAGCTATGCCGAATTTAAGAATGCACCCAAGCAGTAAGAACAATAATTTTATTTCTTTCATTTTGTGATTCTACTAGCTTGTAAAATCAAATACGTAAAAGTAAAGAATTTTCCAGCGAAATTTCGCATTGCATTCTCTCGACCTCTACAATCTTATAGAAACGTTTTCTACGAGAGGTTAATATTTTTCAGGTATTATTTTTATTTTTGTAATATGTTATATACATATATATTTTAAATACCACACACAAGTGTTTTAGAATTAAACAAATACAAAATGCTGCTGCCAACTGCCAGGAAGCGCTCGTATATATGTGGATTTACGGTAAACGAAGGCGGGACTAAACGCTAACCAGGAAGTTTACGACACCGCTTGATGTTTACACATGTTTCTGCTTTCACGTGGAGAAGCTTTTTGCAATTATCATGTCTTCAAAGAAAAATAAAAGCAAAACAAAAAAAGCGAGTGAAGGAGATAGCTCCTTCTCATTGAAAGAGGGCCTAAATGACTCTTCAAGCCTGCAAACATCTCGCACCGACGGAGGAAGCTGCAAAAGTTTGAACTGCAACTCTTTCACTGTCATCGACTTCATTGAAAAAGGTAAGAAGACGAGACATGAGTCTAAACATTTAACAGGCTGTATTATATAAATCAGGTATAACCCCCGTGCAAACGAAGCTACCTGTACTATGAAGATGGAAGTCCCAGCATGGCGCTTGCTGCACTCACAGGACCAGTACTCACTGATGCTGCTGGTCCATTTGTTTTTCTCCAGAGTCGTTTTCTGAGCTTTGTGCCTTTATTCTTTTCATTTGTTTGCAGCATTTGTTTGTGAACTTGTTTGCATTGTTTAGATTTGCATTTGTGGCTCTTTTTCTCTCTCTTTTTCTTTATATTCACTGGTCATCCATTTCCCAACACCCTCCAGAACAGTCCAGCTGCTTTAACAAATCTAATAAAAACATAGTTCTTACTTAACCTCTTATCCCAATTCCTGCATTTTTCTAATCACTTATCTCGTTTTGTCTCTTCCTTCTTTCTGCGTGAGGTAAGAGTGTGCTGAAATTTCTCTGCTGCTGGGAAGTTTATTCCAGTCAGCGGGAAAGGAGGCTCCAGCAAATTGCTGAACCTCAAATTCAGGAGGAGCAATGCCTTGACCAGCACTCTGTGTGCACTTTCTAGACTTAGAGAAGGCTTATGTACATTAGGTGCCTAGAGGCACCTGATGTACTGCAGGAGGATGGGGTCCAAGACCTTCTGTTATGGGCAATTGGGTCCTTCTGTAACCAAAATGAGAGGCGTGTCCTTATCCTTGACACAAACTCAAGCACATTTTCAGTGGGTGTGACTCTGCCTGGTTTGCCACGTGTCTCCAATCCTGTTTTCATGGACAGGAATTTAAGGCATGGCTAGGCTGAGGAGGGCATCCACTTTGGGAAACTCAGAACAGCACTTCTGTTTTTAGCGGATGATGTGGTTCTGTTGGTTCTTTGGGGCATGACCTCCAGTATGCACTGTTTTTCTGAACGCTTCTCCCACTGAAAACGCTACGCCCAGATAAACAGAGTCAACTTTTTGGGGTATAGCTGCTAAAACTTTTTCACAGAAACCCTGGTAGCTTGGAACTTGTTCTTAAGTCTAACACACTATAATTATTACTGGGCTCTTTCTATTTTGAAGATTTGATAAAGCTTATAATGAGCGCTGTATTTGATGACTCATAACAATCCCTTAGTTATACTGCTATAGACTCAGTCTACTGTAGGACAGATACACTGAGAACTCCTCCACTCCCATCTATCTCTCACTTTTTCCCCCTTTATGTATTTTTATGGCACTGTTTTATGCCATTTACTTTTATTTTTGTTTGTTGACTGTGCCTATAATCTTCTGTTTTGTCATGTCTTTCTTCTCATCTCCCAATCGATCATGGCAGATGGTTGACTCCCTCAGAGTTTATATTATAATACAGAGCACCTCGTGCTTTGTGCTACTAACACATTTTTATTCTCTAATCAACGTGTCAGGTGGGCTTGTAGGCTTATATCAGTTCAACTCCTCATATCTGTGTTACATAACAAAATACTTTTGCCAGCATTGATTACGTAGAGAAACAAAACTTTACACATCTGCTCTGCAGTCATTGCACTGCTAAATGCAGGTAGCACCAGACAGTGCACTTTATGCATGCATTGTGCTTTTTGAGTGAGTGGGTGGGTTTACAGATGTAGGAGAAACTTGCCATGATCTTATCTCTCTTTTTTTTTTTTAGTTCTCTGTTTTTCATTTATTTGTTGACATGTTTTTGAATCTAAACTAAAACACTGTTGTAACATCTGGTTTTTACTCTGAATCTTTCATCTGCACAAAAAATTAAGCCATGAAAAAAACCTTAAGCTTGGCTATTAGCGAGGAGAAACAACCTGGAAAGTACAAATCTGTCTTTTAGAGCTGAAAGTCATCATGAAATTATGAAAACACTGTTACCAAAAATCCCTACCAGTAACAAACTAGTGCATCGTCAAATCAGGTAAACAGTGTTTCAGGTCAAACCCACTTTAATACAGTGTCAGCACCACCCAGCAATCAAATGCTTTTTATTTAGTTACCTTTCACTGAGGTAATCTAGTTCATGTATGAAATTTGGGAAAGTGGTTTGTCTTGTTTAGGCTCATGAAAAAAATTCCTGCTGAACACAAAAAGAAGTTTAGTACATTCAAGTTATGTAAGAACCATGAGTTGAAACGTAATGCTATTATTTTTTGCTTTGGGAACATATGCAGCAGTTCCATCATTTCTAAAAGCTTTTCTTGAATTATTTATTTTTATTTTTATTTAATTTGCTTCACAGCTGATGACAAAACACCCAAAAGCTGCAGATCAACTTTAGCCCAACTCAGCCTCAACTCAATGAAATCAGCCAGCGCATGCATCGGGAGGCCCGTGCTGCTGACGAGTACCACAGGACAACAGGAGGTTCTTCTCTTCTCTTCTCTTCTCTTCTCTTCTCTCCTCTTCTCTTCTCTTCTCTCCTCTTCTCTCTCTTCTCTCCTCTTCTCTCCTCTTCTCTCCTCTTCTCTTCTCTCCTCTTCTCTCCTCTGCTCTCCTCTCCTCTCCTCTGACACCCTTTGTGATACTTTCAGGTATGCTTGGCCTGGCCAGTCGCCTCCTTTCCAGGTGGAAAAGTTGGCCTGCAGAAGTGTGCTCAGAACAACCTGAGAGTAAAGACAGGGGATGAGTTGATGCTTCACCCAATAACAGGTCCCTTGCTTCAGGCTGAAGAGGTGGTTCTCTCTAACAGGTAAGGTTTACCTTGCTTTTATTTAAAAAAAAAAAAAAAAGGAAAAAGTCTGTATACATATATTTATCATTCCAGTTTGCTCTATACTCAAAATGTTGCTAAACTACAGTAACTGTACACACAGCTGCCAGTTTAAGTACATCCAGCAACATAAATCCAGTCTAATGAGTCCTACAATATATTGTACATTAATGAAAGTTATGTTTATTTTTGTTGTTGTTCTTTTAATTCTACTGTGGTGAATACATATATATATAGATAGATAGATATATATATATATATATATATATATATATATATATATATATATATATATATATAGATAGATAGATAGATAGATAGAAGCCCCGGCCTTCTTTCCAGCAGAAGGCCGAGGCCCCCATCTGTTGGAAACAAGATGCAACTGCAGTTCAAATGTCAGTAATCACTGAGAAGTTGAGAGAAAAATGTTTCCAGTTAGTTATCAACCACCTGAAACTTTTTTTCAGGTCAAAAGATGAAACACTAGAAACAGATGAATTCAAGGATTTCTTCCTGAGATCTCTGGGTATGTCCTTTTGCCTCATCTTCATCACCTCATCTTGTATCTGAAATATTTGAGACCTTTCAGTAGAAAGTGTGTACTTCTTACACACCTGACTTTGCATTTTTCTGTCTTTTTACTGTATAGTATATACACTAAAAAGAGTATTATGTGTAATGGGGATAAGCTACTATACTATAAGCTATTAATATTTTGCAGAAAATGCACAAGCCTCGTTTCCCTCTCTGCTGTACAGTAAAATAAAATAAAATATCCATGCACTTTAGATTCTATGGCTTGTACTTTAATTTAATATAATCAAGCAGATGATTTCCTTTATTAGAATAACTACTATGTATTTGTCTCTCTTATATCAGCTGGGAACATTGTTCTGCCTGGGAACGTCGTTTCCTTGAGTTATTTTGGCCGCTCTTGCAGCCTTCGGGTTGAAACCATAAAAGGGGAGGATGGCGTCACCCTCCAGAGACCAGCTCCTCTCCTGGGAGCGAGTCCTGAAACTGAAGAGTCCTCTGTGATGAATGACTCCACATCAGCTGAACTCTCCCTGCAGCTCAGCATGCTGTCTGTTGATGACAACCACGATGCAACAACAGACACACCTAGAGAGCTCGGTCCTGCAGCCAGCACTCCATGCCGACAAGCCCAGCCTCTTTCCCTTTCCTCGCAGCCTGTAGCTCCTTCCCACAACTCCCTGAATCCTTCAGCAGGTTTAGTAGACACTGCTGTGAGTCCGGAGAGCTCACTCATCTTAGAGCAGGCAGAGAAAAGCTCATCAGCACCTCCTGCTGGTGCTTTGAGTACTGACACCTTCTACTGCCTGTCATGCTCCACTAAAGTTAGATTTAAAAGCAGAGTAGGCCAAACAGATCCAGATGCAGAAGCTAAGGGGTCAAAGGTCACGTATAGCATGATTGGTGGACTCAGTAGTCAGCTGGATGTCATCAAAGAGACCATCGAACTTCCACTGAAACATCCTGAGCTGTTTTCCAAATATGGTATGTTAGATTATACCATGCTGTAAACTAACCCCCAGTGATGTCATTATGATGTGAGGTGTTACAGTTAGATTTACTGACTCTCATTAAATGTCAGATCTCTAATTTTAAGCGGTTGTCTACCACAGGGATCCCACCTCCAAGAGGAGTTCTTCTGTATGGTCCCCCGGGGACAGGAAAAACTATGATTGGACGAGCCATAGCCAGTGAAGTTGGAGCCCACATGACGGTGATAAATGGCCCAGAAATCATGAGCAAGTATGGTCATATAGCCTGAAAACTTCATGGCACCATATTTCTATCCCAGCAGATTATTTTGGGGAAAATTTACTTTGTTTCCATGACAGCAAGATTTTACTCACCACCTTACACATGATCCAAAGCCACAGATTAAATGAGGAAAGTTTATTCACTGAATTAAAGAAGCGTGTTGTCTCATTTCTTTGCAGATTTTACGGTGAAACAGAAGCAAGACTGAGACAAATATTCACAGAAGCGTCTCAGAGGTAGGTTTTCGCTGAGCTGCCTATACTCATAAAGATAGTATGTCACTTTTAGTTCTGTGTATGCAAATCTCTAAATTCTCTTTTTTATGTTAAATTACATTATTATATTCATAAACGTGCAGAGGTCTCTCACAGTTGATGTGGAACTATCATATTTATCATTCATACTGGGACATAGTTTAAAAATGAAAAGCAAAATCCAGCAAAGACCTCACAAAGGACATCTAATCCTTCATTTGATCCACCTTCTAGTCTGCAAGGCTTCATCAGAAATGGTCTCAGTGGGATGATGTCGCCATCTTCCTGTCTGTTTTAAAAAGAGGAAGGGAAACATGAAATGAAGACCGAAGCGTGCCTAACTGCACAAGATTGGCACCAGGTCTTATGGAGTGATAAATCCAAATTTCACAGTTTTGGTTCAAGTCATTGTCAGTGTGTAGAGACGAGGTTAGGAGAGAAGTATGGTCACGTGTAAAATGTGGTGCAGATTCTGTCATGGTTCAGAGCTGCAGTTCAGCCAGTGATGTTGGAGATCCTGTCAAAATTGATGGAATTATGAAAACAGAAAAGTACTGTCAGATTTTGAGCCACTGTACAACACCATCTGAGAAGCTTCTGATTAGCATTAGCTTCATTTTTGAATACGACAGTGATCCCAAACACACTGCCTATGCTGTAAAAACTTACCTGGATAGAAAAAACACAGTGGAACAGTCATGGACTAAATATGCACCTAAATATCACTGAAACAGTGTGGGATCATCTTGATACAGATTGGATGAAAAAGGAAGCGACATCCAAAGAAGAGCTTTGAAGTTTCTTCAGGTAGCCTGCAGAACCATTTCTAAAGACACATTAAAGAAAATACGAGAAAGCTTGACCATGATGAAGAATAAAGATGGACACATCAAATAATGACTTCTATGTCAAAAAATTGCCTAAAGAGTCAATATTTTGCCCTCTGCGCAGTATTTCCATTTACGTTTTCACATGTTTCAATAAATCAATGTGCTTCTCACATTTGACTTGGTTTGATAGGCAGCCTGCGATCATCTTCATTGACGAGCTGGATGCTTTGTGCCCAAAGCGAGAGGGAGCTCAGAATGAGGTGGAGAAACGAGTTGTTGCCTCTCTTCTGACTCTGATGGATGGGATTGGTTCAGTAAGTATCCGAGTAATTGTACTCTACTATGGCAATAATGTTTTCCGCATTAAACTAAAGGCAGCTCTTTTGAGCATAACCTTATATGCTGTTAAGGTTTTTTTTAAGTTTGAGTTTTTTGGAACCTCACTGAGTCATCTTCTCTGAATTTTGCCAGCCTGCAGCACATAAAGGATGCTCACATTTCTTCTCTTTATACATGAATACAACAGTCTGTTTTACATTAGCATGATTATTGCTAGAAGGCTGGGATTAAACTGAGCAGTAACTGCTTGTTCAGTAGACACATGTCTTTATACTTTGTCTTTCCGCAGCCAAACGTGGCTCCATCCTAATATGCCCTCATTGCAAATACAGATTGTCATGCAGAAACCATCTCTGCGTGCTGGACGCCCTTCAGACACTATGGGTTGCATCTCTCGGGTGCCATTTGTCCTCTGAGCTCTGTGTTAGTGCCTGATGAGAAAAAGGATGATTCCCCCACACACCCCCAGTGGGAGTCTGGGAAAGAAATCACCCAAGGCTGCCATGAGCTGACAATTTGCCGTAACTTTATCAGCAAACTAAATCTTCCCGTCCCCAGGCAGAGAAGGCCGCGGTGTGGATTGGTGATACTGCACAGATACACCAACTCCCTTCTTGCTCCCAGCTCCTGTCTGTTTTCCAAACCAAGGTCATCATTGCTGATTGGTTTGTGGAATGTGGAGAAAGCACTTCCTGCTCCACGGCATTCTTCCTTGCACTGTAATTTATTTGTGTTTCAACTCTGTCTCCAGTGTTAAAAGGTGGAAAAAGTTTTTCCCATCTTGCAGGCAAACCACCCCAGGAAACGCAGAAGTGAGCCAGGTTTAGCATCAGGCTGGGGTCAGAAAATCTCTCAAGCTTTGAAAAATGTCCTCGACATATGAAATACTAAAAGCCAGCGGGCTGAGTTTGACAAGTGGACTTAAACTTGAACTGATGACCACTAAATTTGACCTAATCTAAGAGTGTGGGTGCCACAAGCTGCCGTGCACCTGGGCAGATTAAACAACGAAACTTTACTGCATTATTGAAAACTACCCCTTTGTGTGAATGTATTTAACAGAAACATTTTATTTGCATTATTTATATTCCATGCGCTATAATTTTAAATTGTGAGTCTCCTACAGTTGCTCTGTATGATTCGAGGTTTTTTTTAAAAAACTTTTTTTCTTATTCTGTACCTTGTTGTGGCCCCAGAGTTCATCCACTGTATGAAAGGGATCAGTTTTAGCTTCCTTCTTGCTCCTTTTAAGGTAACTTTCTTCTGTTTGAGTGCATCAATGGGAGATTTGAACAACAGGTGGGTGGAGTCTCTGTGCTCACAGCTAGAGCTGGTTGCCTGAGATATCTCAACAGGTTTATGTGATCTGATTTACTGTTAGTGTGGGTGCCATCATGGCCTGGTCTCAATAATGAAAGATATTGGATCTCAGTAGTAAATAAACAAAATACTCTGAAACTGAGGCATTTAGATCACTCTGGCCTTTTTGGTTTATAATGGTTATTTTTACATAGGCTGACTTTATGATTTGAAACTTTAGTCATGTTTGGTGTGAACATTCAGAATTGTAATAGTTTATATACGACATAAAATGAGAAATGCAAAAGGGCTACTTTAAATTGCCATCTCTTCTCATACAGAATATAAAAAACACACAAAAAATTGATTGTCAAACACATCACAGTTAACCAGATCACTTGAACAACAGAATATACATACCAACTGTGTGAGTCAAGCTTTAAATGACTTTTAGTTCATCAATTAACATTTGCTGAGCAGGTCTTACTATGAAATTACTATGTTGTTATCTCAGAATTAGCTGATCCAACTTTCTTCTCTTTGTAGGAGGGTCACTCAGGTCAGCTGCTGGTCCTTGGGGCCACAAACCGACCCCAAGCCATTGATCCTGCTCTGCGCAGGCCGGGACGCTTTGACAAAGAGCTGGAGGTACATACTATCAGAGAGACTGCAGTGTGTTTCCAATCAACGTCACGCTGTTTGTGAAGAATTGCTACTTAATTGCGCAACTTTCTTCTGAGGCTCTGAGTACGTGGACAGAGTACAAAAAATGTGGTATACAAATCGCTGTTCTGTGTTGATTTCGTGACGGCAGGTCGGAGTTCCTGGTGCTGCAGAGCGGGCAGATATTTTGCAGAAGCAGCTGAAATGCGTGCCGTGCAGCGCCACCGAGGAGGAGCTGACGCAGCTGGCAGACGCCGCTCACGGTTACGTAGGAGCAGATCTCGCAGCTGTTGGCAAAGAAGCGGGCAAGTAAACACTGCTTTGCTCTCTTTTAGAGAGTTGAAATGTTTGTTTCCAAGTTGTAAGAACCTAATAGCACGCAAAAACATTTTGGATTATTGGTGTGGCTACGCCTTTATTTACATATCTACTGATATCTGTCAGGCCAAAAAAAAGCTGGATATTTTCAAGCGTTAGACTCTGATTTGAAATATCATTCCCAGATTTGTAGCTGTAGCTTTTGATAGTCATGTAAACTGTTGCTCATAATGTCACGGAAACCAAGGACATCTATGGCCACTCAAAGCAGCTGTTAAGAAACACCAGTGCTTCTCTTTGCATTGATTTCCTCTTTGCACTTCATGAAAACAACATAATTTAGGAAAACAAAACACAGTTGCATATGGCAACCGGCCCAGAATTGCTCTCCATCTTTTTGTAGTTTAGTTTGCCCCGTGGGCTGAGGTATCTGACCAACAAACAATAGTGATTGACAGTTTGTTATTGAGCTCTAGGTGCATTCTAGGCCTCATGTTGTTTTTCCCTCTCTCGCTTGACCTTTGTTTTCCTTGTAAAATGTCGCCCAGACCACAATAACTTGTGAATTATTTCCATCTAAATTATTTTTACCAATTTTTGAGACATTTTCTTGGAGTGCCTGACATGCCCACAGCTCCTTTGAACACACAGGTCAAGCATCCTTTGATATTTGCCAGAGAGGAAGTTGGGAGTTTCAGCGGTTTCTCTCACTGGGATCCAAATACCACAAAAACCACCACTTGTTGTGAAATTCCTGTGCCCCCTCACCCCTAGCACCACAAACCATCCCACCTCATATCCCTGAGGACAAACACACTGGCTTATATACATGTGTATCTGCCCTGCATGTCCTTGATTGTGGGGGTATATGTGATTGTTTGAGCACATGCTTATTTGTTTTTCTGTGGAAGTGTGTGTATGTGACCCCATATGCCTCCTGGGTGGTCCCACCGCCGGGGTATGTGGCGTATTGCCTTTCCAGCTACGGAGGGAGTTGGGCTGCTGTGTGGAAGCATTCCGGCAATGAGCGTAATTTACTGTCCGCAGAGGGCCAGACGTGACTGGCAGCGTTTTCTGAGAAACCCCCACATGCCCCCGAGGGAGACAACAACCTCCCCAACCCCGCTCGACACCGCTAGTTTCCCCAAAATCTCCAAACCAAAATCACAAGACCGATAAAAGCCCTTGCAACAAAAAAGCCACAGGAGAACTCTTAATGCACTCATGACTTCTTTCTTTCATTTTACCGCTTGAGATAAAATATAAATTCAGTTACAGATGCTTGGTTAGAGTACGAGGCATCTATAGCTAAAGCGCTCTCAGACATTCACCGGAAATTTGGGGCTGAGTCTAAAGTTCAAACTGATAAATATCAGTCTAGATTTAACACCATCATAGATTTATCTCATTCATGCCATCTTTTAACTGGCTGTCAATGCAGCAAATAGGAGCATGGCATGACTCCAGCATGTGATTTGGTCACAGTGGTCCTTTCCCATTTTGTGTGATAACTCCAATATAATTTCCCATGATACACCTTTCTGTTAGGGGAGGATTTTACTGTATAACACGTTTTCCGGGATTGTAATGCAACTGTAACTGAAAGGAAGTAGTGGCAGTTTATCTAGTAAAATCCAAAGTGCTCTATGGTGCACTAAAAAACAATCACCTTACTGTAGTCATGAAAAAGAGCAAGAACCTTACCCGATTTAAGTTTGGCTAATCTCCCCTTTAGGGCTGCCACAAACGATTATTTTGATAGTCAACTAGTCACCGATTATTTTTGCCATGAGTCGACTAATCAGATCATGCGTCCATTGGATGTAAAACCTACAGCTTATTGCACCAGCATGGATCTGCTCTTATATAACTATCATTAGCTTACAGCTTTAACTGTTTAAGGTATGTGCTAACTAAAAATAAAGACAAGATGATAGTTTATTAAATTGTAATGAAATTAGCAGATTGTCTTGGTGGAGTTTAATAAGCGCAGCCGTCTGCTCCTTGCTATCTAAAATATAACAGGACAGGAGTATAGAGTATCTCACACTTCTGATAATCAGCTGTCTGCTTGACATTTATCCAGCTGTGTAAAAACTGTAACTTTAATCTCAGCCAAACCAATTTAATCAGGAACAAATAAAATACTGAAAAAAGCCAAACAATAACATTTTAAGTTATGTAAGTGACTTATATATCATGTTTAACCTGAGTAGCGAAAGACTGTGGTGGGTTTGAAAACGATTTGCCAGGAGTCCGGTGTTCTCACCGGCTCTACTGAGCCTTGAACCCCGGCTAGCTATCGAGCTAGTGGGTAACAGATGTCTCCGAAAACGTCGGAGCGCTTTTGAAAATATGTGGTGTCTTGATAAACCAAGCAGATATTTGAAGTTTACACAGCTACATTCTCACCTGAAAATATGTTAAACGTTTATTTTGTGACCCAGAAAGAATAATAAGAGTAACATGAAAACTAACTAGCTGCCCCATTGTTAGAAACTGAGCAGGACCGCACGGTTCCTGAATTTGGACACAGCTACGATACCGGACGCTGCTTCTTCTTCTTCGGGGTTTAACGGCAGCTGGCATCCTTGTACATGCAGTGCTGCCATCTTCTGTTTCAGTCCGTTATTACACTCTTAAATCCTGCTATTATTCCTGCGTCTTTTGGGATCTTACAAAGCTTCAAACGAGGCGTCGACTATTAAATTAGTCGTCGACAATTTTAATAGGCAACGTAATCGTGACTAGTCGACTAATCATGGCAGCCCTACTCCCTTTTAAGGTTGTCTCCTTGTGCATCTCTGGACTGCTTTCAGTGCAATTTCTATTTTTAGATTCCTCTGCGTGTTAACTATTCTGTCCACTTGCAAATTTAACTTTGAGATTTATGTGTCAAACTAACTGAAGCTTTACGTGCAGATTAATCACTGCTGATGAGAGCTGTATCTCCATCTACAAAACAGCACTTTAATGGAAAATCAGTGGCCAAGCCAGAAGGTAACTGATCTGACAAGGCGGAAGGCAGACAAGCAGACGTTTACTGGAACATGACTTCTACTGTAACATCCTGAGATCTCTGTGGGGGGATTATTTGGTGCAACTGACCTCCACTGTGGCTGGTGCCAGCGTGGCATTTTATGCCAGTTCACACCACTGAAATCTTACACACACCCCATTCATCAAATTTAACTACCAAGTGACTTCACTGTGAGTTGAATCACAGAATGTCAGAACAGGACTTTTAATGAGCAAAAAAAGGTGACCAGATCTAAGATAGTTTCGCTTTTCTTTGAACAGAGTTGCATATACCTTTTTTATGTGATAATGCCCAGATTCCTATTTCATATGTATAAATGAAGGCAAAACTGTCTGCTGTATGCACCGCAATCTTGTTTTGTGATTGCCCCCATCTAAAAATTTTATTTCAAATTTACAAGTATTTATACATTAATCAGTTGTACAGTTTATTTGCAAGTTGCAGATTATTTTCAGTAAAAATCCAAACCACATTACCGTTATCCCTATAAATTGCTTGGATACATATAAATAGACACATAAAGCCATAGAAAACATAGACACATGAACTCGCAAGCTGATATCTGTTTTTTCCTATTTTGCTTTGTACCGAAAGGAACAAAAGAGGCATAAAAACACATCAAATCGGAACTGCAGTTGTTTCCTCGTGCTGCTCAGGTAACAATGAGCTGCTGAGGAAGCATACACTCTGATGTACCGCTTCCTGAAAAATAAAATTGAGGGAACATATATCATGGTGAGCCCAATATACTCTGGTCACGCGAAAGATCCACCTTGCACAGCTGCATTAAAGCATCCACGCGTACGGACTTGTGGCTTCTATAATGGATGCAGTCACAAACACATGCACATTATCCTGCCTTTTAAATAATTCCAGTCTCTTTAATGAAAGACTATTTACATGAGCTGTTCATATGTTAGGAAAGTCAAAGGGTTTGTGTGTGTGTGTTTGATTCTTTTGTGTGTGGATAAGAATGCATGGAAATCTTGATGTCATTAGGGAAATTGTTGTTTGTCCACTCTGAATTATACTGAGCCCCAGAAACTTCTTGACGACAGATGTGTTATATAATGAGCACTTAATTACAGTCGATCACGGATCTGCCAGTTTTTAAAGCGTTGTAATGCATGAGCACGCTCATGCCAGATGTATTAAAGTGCGATTCACTTAGGTCACCTGAAATCCCTTTTTAAGCTTCCACCGAATGCACAAATTATGAAGAAAAACTGCTTTACATCACGGGCACTGACCAATGGAATTCAGGTTAAACTTAATGAAAGAAGCATTTTTAAACCTGGGGGTGAAAAAACAAGAATGCATCAAAGTATTGAGAAGGCATCATGATGCTTCTCTGACTGCTGTACACACATATTTATTCTTTAATTGCAAAAGAAAATACTGAACTATTTTTGAGAAAGGTCTGATTTAAAACAGTTCAACTCTGGGTAATAAAAAAGTTTAAAACATCGCAGAAAGATGCCTCTGAAGTAAAAGTACATAAAATGTAACTTGTTGGGGAAAGAATTTCTCCTGTTTCTGATTGTTCTTACATCAGCCTACATGCACTAAACAGGCAATCTGGATGGCATCCTGTTTAATTAACTCTATAGGTATGCAATATTTTTTTTTATCAGTTTTATGCTGTTTTCAGGGAGTTGTCAGTTTGGAGCTCTTCTTTACTGAATGTATAATGTGCTAAGAAGCCAATCTCTGATTTTACTTTGCACAAACTTTAAATTAAGGTAAGAGGTTGTCATCATTCATCATCGGTTGTCTGTCATTTAAGACACAAATGGGTGAAAAATAAATGAATGTCTAAGCAAGCTATTGCCTGACTGAAAGCCTCGTGAAGTGTTCACGTGGGCTAAGACTGACATGCATTATTGTTAAAATAGTCTTCATTTTCTACAGTTAGAATTCATGCTCCCTTTACAGTAATAGAATTTG